CACACACACACACACACAGCCCCCAGGCATAAACCCACACACACACACACACAGCCCCCAGGCATAAACCCACACACACACACACACACACACACACCTCCCCCAGGCATAAACCCACACACACACAGCCCCCAGGCATAAACCCACACATACACGAGACATAAACCCACACACCAGGCATAAATATGCAAGGTACACACATACGACAGACATGCAGACGTATTTTTGCAGGCATCATTGCTGACCGCCTCTTCTTCCGAAATCAATTGAAACCAGGAGTCAAAGATTCAACCTTCTGTGCCATGTGGCTCAAACTTATAGTGTTCATAATCTTTAAGCGCAGGGTCTGCAGGAAATCCCAGAATTCCTGGTGTTGATGCATAGTACAACAAAAATGCTACTACTGAAGCCGACACTAAAGGTGTGTGTGGATGTGCAGACATTGAGGATGCAATAGTGCTGTGGACAATAATGTAGAAGCAGCATGATGGAGGAGACAGGACTGGAGAAACAGGTGGTTTGGCAGAACTTCCAGAACTTGGGGCCTAGGCAGTGAAAGGCACAGCCACCAGTGTGGCAGGCCCATGTGAGGCTAAAGACGGAGATTCAGAAGCTGTTTCTAGACGTGGAGGGGCGGGGAAGAGCGGCAGGTGAACTAGATGGTGTTCACGATAAAAAGGACATGGGGTCAATCTCTGCCCAGGCTTGAAGTGAACATTAAGGCTGTGAAGAGACTGAGGTAGTGCATGTTGAAACTGGAAGTGATTAGGTGACTGTGTATGTCGGGGGCATTCCCAGTGATGGCTACAATCCTTCTCACTCTTAACCAGAGCAGGCAAACACCCAACCGCAGCAGGAGGTTCACCCTTATTACAAGAGTTAAGCAATCACCTCAATGCCTTTGTTTTGAAATGAATCTCAGGAAACATCAGTCAACTTTCAAGAAAGTGCAACATAGTTGACTGAGAGCAGGAGGAGTATATAGAGTGGAACACTTACAGTGCCATCACCTCCACAGGCCAGGATCCGTAAGTTCTGGACTTTCCGGTAGAGCTCTAACCTGTAGAGAGGCAGAACTAGAACTGTGAAACTACACAGACACATTCAGGGGAAACACACAACTCCTTAGTCTTAGAGAATGTTGTGATCACAGGCTCACCTCTTTGATTCCGAGACTGTAAAAACAAGGGCCCGCTCATTACAGAACGACAAGATAAATCTCTGGGAACTAGCGCTTAACCCTGGGCTCCATCTAAAGCAGAGTGAAGCCCAACAGGAAATTCGCCAATCACTTCAATGCTGAGATAGACAGATTCACGATCAGCAAAGAAGTTAAGGGCTACTGAGTGGGTGGTAGGACACAGACAGTAAAATGAAAATAAGGCCACAGTCAGACCTGCTATGACCACATTGACTGGTACAGCAGGCTTGGGAGGCTGAAAGGCCTACTACTGCTTTTGTTTATTGCACTCACGTCCTTTCATATTGTGCTCCTGAATGCACTTGGTTAGACTTCACTTCGTCCTTCCTCAAAGCTAATGATTCTAATCTGATAACTATTCTCCAACTCTTTTACATATCTGTGACTTGATCTCTGCCCTACATCTTTCAGCAGGTTTAAGTGGATCTTGGGGACTGCAAGACCATCCTTTAAATAGGACCTCCAAGGATGAAACCGAGCTAAATATTACACCTTCCAGGATGGGAACAAAAACTCCTTCAAAAGAATGCAAATATATAATTCATAAAACATCGAGCCCAAGAGATATCAGCACAGATACATCAAACATTTTATCTAGCTTTAGTGTCGGCTCAAGTGCAGGGCCAGATGCAGACTAAAGTTCTGTTTGTTCCGGTCCCTAACAATGTAGGTTTATCACATTCACACAAAGGAAACTCCCACATAACTGTAGAGGATCTCACTCAGGTCTATAAGAGGGGTCAGAAGCCTATACAGAGAGGTCTAGCCAGTGCATATCTCCCTATACAAAATTTTAAACTCCCAGGTAAGTCCCATTCCATATTCATGTGGGGGCCTGATTCGGAGGCAAACATCTCAAGTTCTAATTCCATTGAAAGGATAAAAATTTGACTTTATCACAGTCACTTCTTATTAAAGTCACAAATCACATTCGAACTGCTTCAATACTGAGGCAGGTTAGCCTATTTCCTCATTTGTAACAATTTGTGCATTCCTTGAGAATAACTGGCTATGGTCAGACTTATGCGGTAACGCTCTGAAGATGTTGCTTCTCACCCCATCAGTTTTTAGCTATCCTCATGACCTTGAAAGTGGACAAATACATAATAATTAAATCCATCTTCCATTGGAAGATCCGGGCCGTTATTCTTTTCCATACCCTCCCTGGAACAAGGCCACAAGGAATAGCAGCAGGAGTATGCCATCTGGCCCCTCGAGCCTGCTCCACCATTCAGTAACATCATGGCTGATCTTTTCATGAACTCAGCTCCACTTACCCACACACTCACCATAACCCTTAATTGCTTTACTGTTCAAAAATCTATCTTTGCCTTAAAAACATTCAATGAGAAAGCCTCAACTGCTTCACTGGGCAGGGAATTCCACAGATTCACAACCCTTTGGGGGAAGTTCCACCTCAACTCAGTCCTAAATCTGCTCCCCCTTATTTTGAGGCTACGCCGCCTAGTTGTAGTCCCACCCACCAGTGGAAACAACCTCCCAGCTTCTATCTTATCTATTCCCTTCATAACTGTTTACAGAATATCCTCCAGACTTGAATATTTGCCCCCACCCATTACTTACGCCTCCTTGGGACCTCCTTGACACATATCGAACACTTGTCTTGGGTTCAGATACCACATGAACGACTGGATAATCTTGGCTCCCTGTAAAAGAATGAACCCAATGTAACTGAGACACATCAAGAGCCAATGTTGCTGTAGCCCAAGTGTGGAGTGTAGGCTGTAGGCTGTAACACAAACACAGACTCTGTGTCGATTCGACATTTTCACTGCAGATTTGGAACAGGTGCCCCAGCGACATTAGCTTTGTGGCAAACCGTCTCAGCAGCTGTGAATGGGAACCACAGCGACTAATATACACTGAGAAAGGGCCAGTTACTTGGTATCCCATAGGTGTGTCTAACCCAGAGTGAGTTCCATACAGATATGCAACATCCTTCCCTTGTACTTGGAGAATCTGAGGTCCCTACAGAAATAACCACTGTGTGTGTGTGTGTGTGTGTGTGTGTGTGTGTGTGTGTGTGTGTGTGTGTGTGTGTGTGTGTGTGTGTGTGAGAGAGAGAGTGTGAGTGTGTGTCTGTGTATGTGAGAAAGAGCGAGAGAGAGAAAGAGAAAGGGGATCTTGTTTGCGTTCATTCAACAAGTGACCTCTTCAGCCAACAGCAAAGCTCCACCAGAGGGTAATGCCATCTCTGCAGTCATCAGAACCAGGCAAAACAGCGGAATCAACCCCTTCACAATTAAGCATTCCTGATGGGCTTGTCAGCAGTGGCTTCTGATGCTGCGTTCCTGATACCCAAATCATACTGACATAGGGGAGAGAGAGACAAAGAAAGAAAAAGAAGGAGAAAGAGAAAGAGAAAGAGAAAGAGGAGAGCGACAGAGCAGAAGCGAGTGAGACAGACAGCAACAGAGAGAAAGAGGGAGAGACAGAGACAGCCAGACTGATACAACGAGAGACAGACAGATTGGCAGACAGACAGGCAGTTATTCCTAATGCTGAGTCCAAGGTATAAGAGCTCATGTTTTGCAGTTAGCTCCTGTTTGAAGACACTCGCTGTGCAAAGAGCTGCCCACATTTGTATATTACTGTTCTATAAAATAATGGGATTACACACACCTGATTTCCACCACTTTTGGGATTGACAAACACCAACAACGGTTTCATCAGAGAGGATGGGATGGGCTTTATGATAAAGGGCCTCCATCTTCCTTCCTGTTTGAGAAGGGAAAACAGCGAGTTTAGAAACACAAACTGTTCCAAGCACAGCACAGAATATAAAAAGGCACTGACAAGACTGGGCAGGTGAGCTGCTTTCTTGAAGATTTTAAAGGAGCATCTACAATGGGTCTCTTGCAGCAACCCCTGTAACCGTGCCTGAGAAACCTCACAATACGGAAAAACAACTTCCCTTTTAAATGCAAAAACATCTCACAACATGTGGCCACGAAATGTGCATCAATTGGTGAGGGAAAGCAAGATCGCAACTGTGGTTTAAAATGTATGTTCTCAGTTTAAACATTTCTCAGAGGTAATGCCTAGGATTTTGGTATGGGCATAACAAAGGATGAAGAAAGATTTGGATTGCTATCTTCAGTCAGGATTTAAGGATGGTCCAAAATGCTTTGCTGTCCATTAAGTTCTTTCTGTCATGAGCTGTAGTCGCTGTTGCAAGGTGAAATACCAACATCCTACACACTGCAATGATATATTACCCAATTAATCTTTATTGTAATGTTGATGGAGGTATAAGCATTGTCTGGGACACTGGGAATAACTCACCTGGCTCTTCCAGGCATTCTTTATCATCCAGATGAGGGGACACCCAACCACTCCAACAGGGCCACACTCCCTCAAAACAGCACCGGAGGGTCAGCTCGGACAATGTGCATATCTCTGTAGTGGGACTTCACACCACAACTATCTGGCTCTGGCAAGAGCGCTGAGTCTGACTGGAGATCCAGCGCACCATCAAATACTTGAAAGGACTTGTACACACATAATCGTGCACAGAGACAAAGATTTACTTGCTCAAATTACTTGTACATCAATCGGGCTATAATCTCTTGGAAGCAGCTCTGGGGCAAAACAACAATTCAACCAATTTTCTGAAATTGTACTCTAGGACCTTTTTTTTTTAAATTCACTCGTGAGATGTGGGCATCACTGGCAAGGCCAGTGTTTATTGCCCATCCCTAGTTCCCCCTTGAGAAGGTGGTGGTGAGCTGCCTTCTTGAACCGCTGCAGTCCACCTGCCCTGGGTTGACCCACAATACCATTAGGGAGGGAATTCCAGGATTTTGACCCACCGACAGTGAAGGAACAGCAATGTATTTCCAAGTCAGGATGATGAGTGGCTTGGAGGTGAACTTGCAGGTGGAGGTGTTCCCATATGTCTGCTGTCCTTGTCCTTCTAGATGGAAGTGGGCATGGGTTTGGAAGATGCTATCTGAGGATCTTTGGTGAATTTCTGCAGTGCATCTTGTAGATATTACACACTGCTGCTACTGAGCATCGGCGGTGAGGGAGTGAATGTTTGTGGATGTAGTGCCAATCAAGTGGACTGCTTTGTCCTGGATGGTGTCAAGCTTCTTGAGTGTTGTTGGGGCTGCACTCATCCAGGCAAGTGGGGAATATTCCATCACATTCCTGACTTGTGCCTTGTAGATGGTGGACAGGCTTTGGAGAGTCAGGAAGTGAGTTACTTGCTGCAGTATTTCTAGTCTCTGCATTTATCTGTTGAGTCCAGTTGAGTGGTCAATGGTGACCCCCAGGATGTTGATAGTGGGGCATTCAGTGAGGGTAACACCATTGAACGTCAAAGGCGGAGGTTAGTTTGTCTTTTACTGGTGATGCTCATTGCTGGTATGTGTGGCATTAATGTTTCTTGCCATTTGTCAGCCCAATCCTGCATATTTTTCACATGTTGTTGCATTTGAATATGGAGGTCTTCAGTAACGAATGGTGCTGAACATTGTGTAATCATCGGCGAACATCCCCACTTCTGACCTTATGATGGAGGGAAGGTCATTGATGAAGCAACTGAAGATGTTTGGGCCGAGGATACTATCCTGAGGAACTCCTGCAGAGATGTCCTGGAGCTGAGATGACTGACGTTCAACAATCACAACCATCTCCCTACGAGCAGGGAATGAATCCAACCAGTGGTGAGTTTGCCCCCGATACCCATTGATTCCAGTTTTGCTAGGCCTCCTTGTTGCCACACTCTCACCTAACAAGCGTTTTGTTTCAATCAAGGCTGCAATGAGACCAGGAGCTAAGTATCCTTAGCAGAACAGACTTCGAACAGATCTGGCAACTCAACATTGGCATCTATGAGGTGTTGTGGGCCATCAACTGCAGCACAGGACTGGTTGCAGATTGATTCACGCTTTCATCAGATTTAGCTTACCCAAGCTAGAGCGATTCTGGCTTGTATCCCTTTAGAAATGTATGTTAATCTTGTAAAGGGGAACATGAGAGCTTGCAGGTTATTATGGTAAAACAGGAAGGTGCTCCAGAGGGTTTCCACATTGTGGTTTCTCATGGTCTAAGTTTTCCTCATTTCGTGCATCATCCCAGAATCCAAGAAAGAGGAAGCAGGCCTGCATCAGGCATCCGCTCGTTTGGAGCTGGTCACAATGACAGAAAGGCACATCCTCTGATTTTTCACTTACTCCTCATACAGCAGAGAAGAGTATTGCTGAAGTTGGATTTCACTTGGACATCTTTGTGTCATCAGTGGGATACATTGAGAGCTGAATCTTTACCTTATCATAAGATGATAACAAGAGCAGAAATAGGCCATTCAGCCGATCGAGTCTGCTCCATCTTTCAACTAAATCATGGATAATCCGATAAGCCACAGCTCCACTTTTCTACATTTCCCCCAGAAATCTGGATTCCCTTACTGATTAAAATTCTCTCCCGTCTATCTCGACCTCGGATATACTTAATGGTTCAGCCTCAACAGCCCTTTGTGGTAAAAAGTTCCAGACATTTACCACCCTCAAAGGAGAAATTTCTCATCCCCATCTTAAGTGTGTGATCCCTCATTCTGAGACTAGACCCTCTGGTCCTAGACTTTCCCACAAGGGGAAAGCAACTTCCTGCATCTACCTTGTCAAGTCCCTTAAGAATATGGGGTGTTTCAATAAGATTCTTCTAAACTCCAATGATTACAGGCACAAGCTATTCAACTTCTCCTCATAAGATAGTGCCCCCACACCTGGTACAGCCTAGTAAAGTCTTCTCTTCTCTGGACTGCCTATATGTCAGTAAATCTCCTCCCAAGCGAACTGCAGCAGCCCAAAAATGTAGTTCCTCACCACATCTCAACAACAGCGGCCTTATTAGCAACACCCATTTCCAGAGAGCAATTGTTCTTTCAAAAAATCACCACCCCTTCTGCCCCTTTTATTCATTTTTATCCTCATGCTAACTCAGATACTCTCGCCTTGTGACCACATTCAAATCTCAGCTGTAATATTTTACCGTGACACCTAACAATAATTTTAAAAGTGAGACAGTTGCTTACCTCGGCTCCTTTCTTGCTAGATTTCCTCTTAAACGATGTCCGTTTTTTCTTTTTACTTGACTTCAGTGAGTTCTGAGCGGGAAAAAAAGAAAAGATGACCAAGCCAGGAGTTAGTGGCGATTGGAGGGTCACCTCAGAGCAATTTCAGGGACAGCGAGGGTCAGCTCAGAGGGGTTTCAGGGACAGAGAGGGGTGTCAGCTCAGAGGGGTTTCAGGGACAGAGGGGGTCGGGACAGAGAGGGTCAGCTCAGAGGGGTTTCAGGGACAGAGAGGGTCAGCTCAGAGGGGTTTCAGGGAGACGGCCCGTTCCTCACCTGTGCTCGTCTGACCCGTATGATCCATGTTGGGGGAACAATGACAGCAGCATGAGCGCCCAGCGTACACGGCTCCTCAATCTGTTGTAGCATGAAGCAGGTCACCTTGTTGTGATACTGCAGGAGAAAAGGACAACGGAAGCAGTCCAAGTAAAACATTAACCTTCCAGAGATCGTACCTGTACATTTTGAACCCCACGCACCACCTTTCCGTCGTTTGCCCTGCTGCTCGGCATTAAGTTGGCCATGTCACAAGACCAGAAGAGCCATGAAGGGCTATAGATCAAGGATGTGACATGTTTAAACAGTCAGTCTTGGCTTTGGCACTATCAGAAGCTGCGAATCAATACACAGTACAATCCACAGCCTCAGGTGCCACCAAAAGATGTTTGTCCTTCTAGACAGTCAGCTGGTTTTTAATATTTGTCAAGTGTGGGATAAAATATGCACATTTTTACTCCCCACACCCGCCATTAAAATTGCATGAGGAAAGCAAAGTTGAAAGGGATGAGAAAAAAAAATAAGTTGAAAGAGAATTTAACTTTCATAAACAAATCAGAGCAGGTCCAAAGAGAGACTTTTTTCAGAGGATTAAACTCATGACCTTGCTGGGTCACTTCCACATCTTTGGGTGTTTAAATCCTTCCTGCCACCTGCCCATCACAGAGCTTTGAACTGAATCATCTCCCTGAAGCTGGATCTATAATTGCTTCAAAGGTGTTCATCCGTAACATCTCCCAATTCTGATAAACATCATCGAGCTGAAACATTAGCTCTGGGTCTTAGAATGCCTCCAGTGTAGAAGCCATTCAGCCCATCAAGTCCACACTGACCCTCTGAAGAGCATCCCACCCAAACCCATGCCCCTACCCTATCCCTGTAACCCTGCATTTCTACATGCCTGCACACGGTGGACAATTTAGCATGGCCAATCCACCTAGCCTGCACATCTTTGGACTGTGGGAGGAAACCGGAGTACCCAGAGGAAACCCACACAGACACGGGGAGAACATGCAAACGCCACACAGACAGTTGCCCGAGGGTGGAATCAAACCCTGGTCCCTGGCACTGTGAGGCAGCAGTGCTAACCACTGAGCCACTGTGAAGTCTTCCTCTACTGAGACTGCTCGACTTGCTGAGTTATCCCCACAGTGCTTGGTACTCTACTTAGCAGCAGACTGTGGCAAAGACAGACTTAGATCCCTTCAAAATAGAAGACTTACTGCCTGTTTACACCAGGAGCAGCTGATCGCAACAATCTCCTTACTGTGAAAAGTAAACTTCTGCTGAAAACCCTGTTTAAAAAAAAAACATAAAAATGATGGAAAGTAAGTGACTCACGAAGCAACCAAAGTCAGTTCCAACATGCCATGAGCTCAGAGAGACCTAAACATTTACTTAAAGGCCTTTTGAGGGCAGCAACTGGTTCAAGTCTGGAATGCATTGTCTGATATTGTGGTGGAGGCTGTCTCAGTTGAGATATTCAAAAGGGAGCTGAATGGTCACCTTCTGTACTGTAACAATTCTGTTAGTCTTTGAAGCTGTCAGTCATTCTGATGTCTAAATCCCATTCATGTCTCATCTCTCCTGACTGAAGAAGAAACAGCTTTCACCAGATCTACACTGAGCCTCAGTTTCCTCGTCTCCCAGGGTTGATTTTCCTTTTCTATTCCACTCGGCCAGCTTGAGTCAAAGTATCGCCCGTGTCTGCCTTTCGCCAGGGTAAAAGTAAAATACTGTGGATGCTGGAAATCCTAAACAAACACAGAAAATGCTGGACAAACTCAGCAGCTCTGGTGGACCTGTGGAGAGAGAAACAGAGTTAGCATTGAGTCCAGTCCAACTCTTCATCGGAACAAAGATGCAGAGGCAGCCAGACCTGTTGAGTTTCTCCAGCTTTTCTGTGTTTGTTTTATATCACATCATGGCACAGCAACCTCTGGACCACTAAGTCTCACTTACGAGATCCCCTTTGACATACTCAGCTCTCAATACTCAGAAACTCCTCAGGAAGTGGAACAGTCCATGATCCAATGCAACAATTTCTGTAAAATACCCAGGCTTGGGCTGATTAATGGCAAGTAACATTCATGCCACACAAATGCCAGGCTATGACCACATTAGAGACAATCTAACTACCACGCCTTGACATTCAATGATGTCACCATCACTGAATCCCCCCCACTAACAATATTCTGAGTTACCATTGACCTGAAACTCACTGGGCTCACCACATTAGCAGAGTGGCTACAAGAACAGGCCAGAAGCTAGAAAACTGCAGTGAATAAGTCACCTCCTGATTCCCCAAAGCCTGTCCGCCATCTACAAGGCACAAGTCAGGAGTGTGATGGAATACTTCCCACTTGCCTGGATGGGTGCAGCTCCAACAACACTCAAGAAGCTTGACACCATCCTGGACAAAGCAGCCCACTTGATTGGCACTACATCTACAAGCATCCACTCCCTCCACCACCAACACTCAGTAGCATCAGTATGTACTATCTACAAGATGCACCGCAGAAATTCACCAAAGATGCTTGGTCAGGATCTTCCAAACCCACGACCACTTCCATCTAGAAGGACAAGGGCAGCAGATATATGGGGACACTACCACCTGCAAGTTTCCATCCAAGCCACTCACTATCCTGATTTGCAATTATATTACCCTTCCTTCGCTGTTGCTGGGCCAAAATCCTGGAATTCCCTCCTTAAGGGCATTGTGGGTCAACCCCACAGCAAATAGACTGCAGCGGTTCAAGGTGGCATCTCACCACCACTTTTTAAAAAGCAAATAGGGAATGGGTAATAAATGTTGGCCAGCCAGCGATGCCTATGTCCCACGACTGAACAAAAAAAGTGATTCAGAGGCTGTTCCAGTCGACAGAGGTAGGGCAACAAACTAGTCGAAGATCCAGATACGTTCAACCATGATGAAGCTCAAGTTCCTGCTCAATTCTCATTTCATCAAACTAGTCAGAACATTGATTTTCTCCAACATGTTAATATTAATACTAATCAGACAGACACCTTCGGTCATTGAATCCTGAATTTGGTTGACCTTAAAATTGGAATGATATTGAGGACTACAGTTGAATCATAAAATGTTATTAACGTAGACATTTTATTTTAGGTTTTCCTATGATTTTACTGGAACTTGTTCAAAAGTATGTACAACGAGGGTGCTTTCCATACAGATTTAGACACTGGGATAATCTGCTCCGAAACTTTAGTTTTAGCCTCCGAGGCAAGTCTCATCTTCGGTACAATAGGTGAGCAGTGGACGCCGTACCTAGAGGCTTCCTACCTTACCACACTGCTTGCACTTCCCCTCTTGCCGTCTCCGATGAACCCAGTGGTGCCGTACAAACGTGGGCTGAGGAGACAAACAGGAAACAAAGACAGCACAAAATCAGGTGTTCAGTTTGTAACGGGCAACGCATTCAGATCGTCAACTTCTCACAAACTGTGCCCACGTTCTCAAGCCACACAATGAAAGGAGTTCCCTCAGAGAGTGAGAGAGCGTGGAGCGAGAGGGCGTGGGAGCGGGAGCGAGAGCGAGAGGGCGCGGGGTTGAGCGAGCACGAGAGCGAACTTGGCTCACTGCTTGCTTTTTAGGGTCCACCATCTCTCCCTGCCAGCCTATAAAGGGATATCTCAGGAGCACTAAGAAATGCATGTTGTTAAATCACGCTCCCAATCACACATGCATCCTGTACTGGAACAATCATAGAAAATTCCCAAATGATAGATTCTACAAAAGGAAATGACTTCTGGAGAAAGTGTTGCGGGGTGGGGGTAGTGGGGGGTGGTGGTGGTGGCAGATGAGTTCCCTGGGTCAGCGAGGTGCATGGGTTCACCGAGACAGTGGAGATGTGCTCCCTTAGTCAGGAAGTTACTGTCAGCATCCTTGGTCAGTTGGGTGGTGTGTGCACACCTACACACTTGAGTGTGCATGTCCTAAAATGGAAGCAGGGACAGGAGTGCAAACCCTCCACTCCCATCCCTGTCACACACCACCTCAACTTGAGAGAAATATGAGGGATTCCTTCATTGTTACTGGGAACTCCCTCCCAAACAGCATTGTTGTGTGTTCTTAAACTGCACAGACTGCAGCAAACTACCAGCTCCTTCTCTAGAGCAATGGGGGATTAGCCCAAAATGCTGGCCTTGATACAATACAGATGTTCCTACAATGAATAGAAGAAACCCATGCACAGGCAGCTGGACATGTTGCATGTCTGAAGCTGGTGTATGCTATATCCTAGAGATGAGCAGGCAACAGCCTGACAACTCCCAAGTATATCCCAAAGATTAGTTAAAGGGATATAAACCCTTACAGTTCTGTGCAGCTTCAACCATTGAATCCAATTTTTCGATGGGTTTAATTTAAAACAAAGATGGAAATAGATTGTTATGGATCAGACCAAACCCCTTCAAAATATTCAGAAGATAGTCTAGCTCTTAGCTTTTTCTTATTTTAAAACGTAAATTTTAGGTGTTGCATTCCAGATGCAACTTGATTGGTCAAACTACCAGATGTAAAGCAAAACACACTTTATTCATCCATTATGTTATATTTTAACTAAAGGAAAGTAGGAATTGGAATAAGTTAAGTCTATTGGAAAACTTAACACAATAATAGATACAGTAACTATTACGAATTAATTGTTTGAATATAGTAACATCCCATAAACACACCTTTGGCAAAAAGGCAAATTCAGAAAACAGATTGTCTCACATACAACTCCTGTAGCAGGCAGAGAACCCCCAGCTTTAGCTGTAACCGAGAGGGGGGACAAAATAGCTTCCACTTCTTTAAAACCACCACAGCAACTGCTGAAAGTCGAACTAAAGATCCTGGTTCTGTGGGAGCTTGACCACACCCATTCAGGCTGCTTCTATTGTTCCAACTTTGAAAAAAAGCACCAAGGCCTCACAAGCTGTTTACTTTACTGGATTTCCAACTGGACAGCTTGGTACCGCTGTCTAAAAACCTCTCTCTAAATAAAAAGGAAAAGCAAAACTCTTAAAGCCACAGCATTGTCACAGGATTTTTTTTATAAAAGAAAACAAGTAATTAAGTAGGCGCTGTTCAAAACCAACACTATTCATAACTTCAACAGGTATATCTACCCAATCAGTTATAAATACCAAACCTCAACTAAACTTTAAAAGATGTTCCAAGCTCTCTCTCTGTAGACAATGGGAATCACAGGATCCGCTGTATGTAGAGATTGCAGCCAGATTCTTAGCTCATTCTAAAGGGACTGGCTTAGTATCAAACAGCAGCCACATTCAACAAATGGAGAGCACTGGCTTTTTATTTATATTCTTATTACTAATAAACGTTCTTACCTCTCTAATGTTACGTGACCCAGACTCCCGGAATGTTGGTTTACATCTAAAACTTATCTGTGGGGTTTAAATAACAAAACATGACATAAAACTGGCCTCATCTTTAATAGGTGCACGCAGCCAGGAAAACAAACATTTGGCAATCCATTTTTGCAAAAGATTTCTACAGCTTGCAGGTAATGACTTTGCAATGTCCATGAAATCAATTTAAAAACACTGGATGAAAAATCAGGGTCATCCATTCTCTGGGACGAAGTTCGATTGTTTGGACAGCATCAAGAGAGATTGGAGAGAGTCAACACGGTTTGTTCAAGGGAAAGCTGCATCTAACGTTTCAAAGCAATACAGAAGGATCGATGACCATTTTATGCTTTGATTTTTCGAAGGTACTAGAGATTGGCAGGTAGTTTGCAGCAACTTGTGACAAGGAAATGTGACAAGAAAACTTGTAACTGGGGAGGTAATGGCCTAGTAGTATTATCACTGGACTGATAATCCAGACACCCACATAATGTCCTGGGGATCTGGGTTCGAATCCCGCCATGGTAGATAGTGGAATTTAAATTTAATAAATATCTGGAATTAAGAATCTAATGATGACCATGAACCCATTGTTGATTGTTGGAAAAACCCATCTAGTTCACTAATGTCCTTTAGGGAAGGAAACTGCCATCCTTACTTGGTCTGGCCTACATGTGACTCCAGACCCACAGCAATGTGGTTGACTCTTAACTGCCCTCTGGGCAATTAGGAATGGGCAATAAATGCTGCCACTCCAGCGACGCCCTCCTCCCGTGAATGAATAAAAGAAACAAAAATAAAATGCAGAGCAGGGACAGTGGAATTCTCAAATGGCAGAGGCAGCCAATAGCTTTTCACTATCATATGTAAATAAAAGTGGCATGAGCTTGTGACCACAAGGAAATCTGTACCATTTTCTATATGATATTACATTAGGAATATAGCAAACTCTGAAACTGAAAGCAGAAAATGGATATTCTTATTTTAATCACGTATTATAGTGGAACAATGAAAACTCCAGTTTAATGGAACAAAGTCATACAACATAGTCTGGAAAGAAGATTACCAAATTGAAATACACTCAATAATTGAGTACACTAGGGGAAGGGGTAGATGAACAAGCGGTTTTTTTTTTTTTAAGAAAAAAGTCCAACTACACAACTCAAACCAGGTTAGCTCATTAGTACAATAACACTATCTATGTCATGAAAAGCAAGGACAGGCAGTGTTATATGGAGTACTACAGCATACAGAGCACTATTTATGTCAGACAGACCATTATAGAAGTTATAGAGATCACTGTGGGGATTATAGTGAACCCTACTGCAGTTATACAGCGCACACTCTCAATTACATAGAGTGCTTTTGCATTTCTACTTTGTGCTACAGGAATTACACAGAGCATTACAGGATTATCCTGAAAGTGAAAAGTAAATTGAAAGTCTCTACTGTTTAAGAGGGCCATTCACTGACTGTTTGTGAGGAACAAGGTTGAGATGGCAGGGTCTTCACGCTGACTTAACCAGTATGGGAATCAAACCCACACTGTTGATGTGACTTGACGTTGCAAACTGTCCATACTGCCTACTGAGTAAACGGACCCCCTAGTCCATTGGATACTATCCAATGGGAGTGAATGGGAAAGAGGCGAGTCCACTGGAAAACCATTCAATGGGAGTGAATGGGAAAGGGTTTAGACCATTGGAATGCCATTCAATAGGAATGAATGGGAAAGGGTTTAGACCATTGGAATACTATTGGATAGGAGTGAATGTGTAGGCCCTTTGACTACTGCTGTTCTAGCCGTAAGAACATAAAAATGCATGACATGAAGGGAAAGCTGTTTGAAAGGTAGTCTCCATACGCCATCCTAGCTCAAGGCAGTACATCGCTTGAAGGAATGTTCTGCAAAGTTTCTCCTTTCCCATTCAAAATTAGACCAAAAATACAAATCTGCACGAATGACCTCTACAACCAGATGCAAACTAAACGTTATATCTCCAAGGATAAGAGAGATGAAAGAGACTTACTTTCTCCAGAAGCTCAATGCAGGGTGTGTGAACCACAATCTTGCAGGCAGCACATTTCTTCCTTGACACTGACTTCTGCTACAGAGAGAGATGAAAGGAGTGATTAAACTGTGGCCCATCAAATAAATCTTAACTTTACAACACCTCTCTCGCCCTTCTCCTGAACCACTGAGCCCCACCAGCATCATCCACAAGCTGTAGATGTGAGGACCAGGAACTATTCAAGAACTATGTCAGCTCTATTCAGCCTTTGTCAATATGGTTGTTGTATTTCTGGATAAGGAGCAGAGGAGGACAGCTGATGTTAGTAATGGGTCAGGATGACTGGAATACTTGATTTTCCTTCTTTTCTTTGAGGACGTTGCTTGGTTCCTTTCCAAGCAGCAATGCTGAGATACGGAAGATCGCAGGTTCAATCCCACCAGCCGACTATGGATTAATCGGTGTAGACTTTCGCTGGGAAATCTCCACTGGCTCTTCAACGTCTCTTTGCTCCAAATTCCTGCACTTAAACTGAAAATACAAAATTGGTGCTCATTTTTCATACCTTATTGGCCAACCTCAAGATCAAATCCCTTGCATTTTTATCTTCAAAAGGGGAGTTTTGTGCTCACTTTATGGGACAAACCTTTCCTTCAGCACCATTGAGGTAAAATATTGCACATTTACTCAGAATTGGCCAGGGCTGGTGCCCTGTGCTGAAACCACAGCTTAAATAAAAGAAAGGACCTTTGCACAACATCTTTCATGAGCTCAGAATATCCTAGAATGAAGCACAGCTAATCAAGTACTTTGGAACTAGGCTCACCATAGGGTGTGGCAAACCATGTCGCGTACACTGAGAACTAACCAACAGAAATGACGTTGGTTGTGGGTTAATAGCTGGTCAGGGTAAACAAGGGAACCTTGCTGCTCTCCTCTGAATTGGTTCGAGAGATATTGGCAAACACCCACATTACACTGAAATGTCAGCTTAGATTAAGCTCCCAAGGCCTCTAACTAGCGTAAGATTCTCAGTTCAGCAGGTCTGGCAGCATCTGTGAAGGAAAAAAACAGAGTTAACGTTTCGGGTCCGGTGACCCTTCCTCAGAAC